CCTCTTCCCATGCCAGCTGGTCTTCTACCTTGGCAGTACGGAGGTCAGCTCTGCAGCCTGCCTGCTGCTGCAATCCTAGTGCCGGGAGCCTGCTCCAGCTGGGATCACTGGACCTGCAATCCTGTGTGGTGGGGCAGCACTGAGCACCCTGGCTTCCTGCCAATGCTGCTGTGCCCAGTCCTGCTGGGGTGGGGGGAGCTGATGTCACTGGGCCCAATCCTACACTGACTCATTTTTGCACCACCACCCTGGCTCTGCGTCTGGGACAGGGGTCCCCCGCCCCCACTTGTCCCCAGTTACAGCCCTGATGATGTCACTTGGGCCACAAGTTGAGAACCACTGGCCTATAGTGCTTCTGGTAGTCAAATTTAACAAAGTTTTCTTGTTCTAAGTAAGGATACAGTGTTTGTAGCTCATATATTGTAAAGCATTTAAGGGGTTTGTGGTATGTTGCATGCTTCCATTGCAGATATGCTAGTCTAATATATCTCACTCTGAAAGGCTTTTACTGTACTACTTGATTTGACATGAAATGACCCTTTAGAAGCAGCCTTAAACCTTTGCCTTTTAGAAGTGATTTTGTTTTTTCCCTAGCATGTCTCATGTCTTGCATCTTAATCTATCTTGAGCTCATGAAGGTGGTGTTAGCAGCAGGACTGCTTTAACGTTTACTCTTGCTTACAGATTCGATCTCTGGAATGGTAGAATATTAACTGTTTTCAGTTTATATAAGCAAAAATGAAGATGTCGAAAGCCAAATGTAAAAAAAGAATGAGGATTTTAATTTTTATAGAGAGCTTTTCATATGGAAGGATCTTGAAGTGCTTTGCAAATGTAGTTGCTGGATCAACTTATGAAAAATGGGCGTGGGTAGAGGAGGGAAAAGCAACTGTTTTAACAGCCTGAAACAGGAAGCGAAGGAAAATTTATCCACTCAACTGTAATTTTTAAAGTAGGATCAAAGAACCCAGCTTGACCTTTGGAGCCAGGGATGGAATTTATAGGAGAGCAAAAAACCCTCTTAATTTAGATACTGAGGAAACTTGACATGGAATCTGAGACACAAACATAGAACTTGCAGAGTAGAACCAAAGTTTAGTCTCAATTTTCAGAGTAGAATCTCAGTTTCATCTCTTAGCCATCCACCATATGCAGTCTGTCTTTTTGTTCTGAGTTTGTACAGCACTTAGCACAGTGGGGTCCTGGTCCATGTCTAGGGCTCGTAGGTACTACAATAGTACAAATTAATAATAATATTGGGTAGATACCCATATTGCAAACAAACAAAAGCCACCACTTTTACCGCCGCTTTTCAATCTCCCCCCTCGCAGGGTCCCAACGCCCAGGCTGCAACCTGAGACCGAATGTCTACACTGCAGTTAAACAGCCCCAGATAGTCCAAGCCCCGTGAATCCAAGTCAGCTGACACATGCCAGCGTAGTTTAGACATACCTGCAGTGTAGACATACCTTAAGACACAAGGAGGTGGAGTGGCTGACTTGTGCATTTTTATCAGACTGCAGCCTGTTGTGATGGGCAACTGTTTCTCATTCCCACAAGCGCTCACTTGTGAAGTTCAACATGGCTCAATCCTGCATCCAAAATGGTGGGCCAGTTTGAGAAAGCTGCTAGTTTTGTGGATAAAAGCTCCTTTGTTGTCACTGCAACAACTTCCACAAGCCCTAATATTCACTGGAAGAAGCCCTAATATTCACTGGAAGAATTCCTTGTGTTAAGCTCTTGACTAGAACATACTGCTTTAATTTCTAGGAGTCCCCTCATCCCTCCCCCATTAGTGATTCCACAAAATGACAGTGATCCTTTCAGGAGTTTAATATTTTCTCATTTGGGATCTACATGGCTTTAACCTCCACCCACTCCAATCTCTTCTTGCAGAGTACAGTGCCAATCATGTAAATTACGTGTGTTCTATGTTAACTTTTTTCATGAAAATCTGTTAACGTGAAGTGTTTCCATAAATGTGCACACATAACTATTGCCTGTCTGCATTCAAGCACTCACCCCCCCCCCCCCCATCCCTGGAAAAAAGAAACAACAACAAATTTTAGTGGTTTTTGGATAGTAACCTAGTACAAACTAACACATACCTCATATGCAGCATTTACAGGCAGGGTGAAACTATATAGCTTACACTTTTAGTTAGGCTGCTTGTCTGTCTGACGTCCCAATTTTCTCCATGGCAACACTCTGTAGACATGCACTATTGTCTGTGTGTGTTGTCATGTAAGGTATGACAAACACTGAAGATGACTAAATAAAATGCAAAGCTTCTGATATAACTAATGTAAAAATAATGGGCTGACTTGTATTATTAAAAATATTAGAAACAACTATTTTGTTTTGTAAAAACTGTATCATCTGCCCATGCTATTTCCTTTGTCATCTTTTTTCATGCTGTTACCTATTTATGGAATGAGATTGCTTTTTCTGTGCTCTCCTCCTTCAAAATCCTCTCCCTTTGCTTTGCTTCTTACCATGTGCTTCCAATTCTGTGCACTGCACTCCTTCCCTCTTTTCGTACATCAGTCTCTATTTCAAACATTAGATACAACTCACATTTTAATTTGTTTTAATATTAAATCCTTTGTATTGTCTATGCTCATCATATTCCAGATTTGTCTAATTTAAAGTCTGCTCATCCTGCAAATCCTACATTCAGATGAATTCCATTGACTTAATTGTTGTTTAAGCATTTTAATCTTTTAGCTAGCGTTTATAAACTTGCTCTTTCTTGTAAAATGTTTAAAGAAATAAAAATAACTTCAACTCCCCCTATCCCCTGCTAAACTAATTTATTTAGATTTAGACTCTACTGCACAAAAAAGAGTGTCCATCCCAGGTAGAGGGTGCCCTAGACCAGGGGTCTCAAAGTCCCGGCCTGTGGGCCATCTGCGGCCCGAGAGCCTCCCCACTGCGGCCCGCGGAGGAGAGACGCATGCAGCCATGCCGCCAGCAATGTCTGCTGCAGGTGCCGCCCCCTGCAGCTCCCACTGGCTGGGGGAGAGGGACAGAGATACCATCACTAGTCGCCGGGCAGAGTCAGCCATGGAGGCAGCATCATTAGTTGCCAGACACAGGCAGCCATGGAGGCAGCGTCACTTTTTTCCACAATGAATATAAACAAGTCAAAATGCCGAACTCAACTATCTGATGCACACCTTGCTGCAATCCTGAAGGTTTCAACTGCTTAGCCACTGAGGCCAAACATCAACAAACTGACAGAACTGAAGCATTGCCAGGTGTCTGGCAAACACTAAAAACTCTCTGGCAGGCGAAGAATTGTATAAAGTTGTATGACAGTTTTATTATTTCTAAGAAATTCGAAATAAAAAATGCAATATAAACTCTTTCTTTCCATCTTCAGTGACATTATTGGCCCGCTAGTAGGATTTGAGGACTGTCACTGGCCCTAAGGTAAATTGAGTTTGAGACCCCTGCCCTAGACATTTTGCGCAGATCCTCAGCTGGTGTTAATTCTCATTCGCACCACTGAAGTCAGTGTCACTAAGCTGATACCAGCTGAGGATCTGCTCCTTTATTTTGTATATTTTAATCAGACTCTTTCTCTCATATATAACTTTTGGAGAGTCTCCATCAAGACTGTAATACAAGAGTAATACTGTTTTTTAAAAGAGTTAATAAAGCTTTAACATTGCCATGTTAATCTGCCATTACACCTCTACCCCGATATAACACGAATTCAGATATAATGTGGTAAAGCAGCGCTCTGGGGGAGCGGGGCTGTGCACTTGGCGGATCAAAGCAAGTTCGATATAACGCAGTTTTACCTATAACGTGGTAAGATTTTTTGGCTCCCAAGGACAGCGTTATATTGGGGTAGAGGTGTATTGTATTAAATTAATGGAGATATCCTATCTCCTAGAACTGGAAGGGACCTTGAAAGGTCATCAAGTCCAGCCCCCTGCCTTCACTAGCAGGACCAAATACTGATTTTGCCCCAGATCTCTAAGTGGCCCCCTCAAGGATTGAACTCACAACCCTGGGTTTAGCAGGCCAATGCTCAAACCACTGAGCTATGCCTCTCCCCATTATACAAGTCTGTTGCATCTTACATGCATTTAACATGCGCGATTTCAGCTTTACGTGGTCGGCCAAAAAAAAAAAAAAGAGAGAGAGAAAAATAACCATTTTAATACTGTACCTGTAGTGCGGGCGATTCCATCCGCCATTGAACTCAATGTAATTTTGACTATACGCGGTTTTTGCTTTACGCGCTAACCACGGAACGGAACCCCCGCGTAAGATGAGACAGACCTGTAATGTTTTTTTCAGTGCCCAGGTAAAAAATAATTAGAGCACTTCTGTATATTTTACCCTGGCTTGCTGGAAACAAAATTAGGACAAATGTGGGTCATTGCTGGAGATTGAACTGAACTCTCCAGTGGTAAAATCATGAATGTCTACTACTTGAGCAGCTCCTTCAGGTAGTAGCTCTAGGAGACTTGTATCTTCTGTAAACCAGCCACTAGAGTGGGGCATTTAACACATACTGAAAAACAGGTTACATATGCATCCTTCAGAATTGATGAGGTTTCAGTATATAACCCATAATTCAAAGAGAATGAGAAAAAGAAAAACTCTTTGGGAACAGATCAAGAAAATCTTAGTGTGAAAGCCATTGGCTGGCTTTGTGAAGATATCAAAACATTTATATCTACTTGTCACAATAAAATGTTTATATTGTAGGGTCCAATAAATATCAAGGGGTCTTTTTACTCTGCCTTCACCTCCCTTCCACCATTACTTTAAACAACACAATAGCGAAATGTTGGAAATAGTTTACTAAAATCTGAATTAACTGGTTGCCCTGGAGCTCTCACATAAAAAAGAAAACCAGAAGTTGTGACATTGGTAGGTTTTAGAAGTGGAATTGTGCTACAACATATTTTCACCCAGCTTTTCCAATGACTTTTCTCTTGGGAAATGATTGACTAGTGTGTGCACTTTCTGTCTTTTAGGTTGAAGAATGAAAAAGCCTTGCGTCTGAGTATTGTAGGTGAGTATCATAAGCTACTTGGTTGAAATCAAAATTAAGGTTTGTCCTATAATTTAGGTCTTACAGACTTTCTGGGAAAAGGAATTCTATCCAATTATTCTCTGTTTGGGGCAAGGACTGTCTTTATAATCTATTAATAAACTGTATAATTGTTGGAATATCATGGATGTTCTCACTTCAACCTGGCAACTGCAAGTGAAATCAGAGCTAAGAGGAGTATGGTATCTCTTGACTTCACTTCTTTGCAACATACGTGGACTTCATCACGTGGCTGACTGTAGCAATAGGCAACTTGGCATACTACAGAACAAACCTCTATTTCATTAATACCACCAAGCCTTGTCAATCCATATTATTAGATGTAGCCTACTCCAAAATTTATACTTGCATCATCTCATGTAGATGTTTGTGAATTGACAGAGATGCCAGGCAGCAATTTGGAAGGCTGGTAAATTTGATCCAGTGTTTTAAAGAGTTTGATGTTTAACTTTGTTAATTTACTTTACTCTTAAATTATGCAGATATGTTGATCAGGGAATGAAAAGGCCTCAGGCCAGTTTCTCATACTGCAACTCTAAGTTGCTAATTTTGACAATTTCTCCATTACATATTTGATTGTCTTTATATTGATCCAATATGGTGATTCCGCCTCTCTTCCTCTCACTCCCCCTCCCCCCCCCGCCCCCCCAATCATGTTGCAATAGAACATGATCTGAAAGTGATTTTTGGTACTTTTAAACATTTCTTAAGCAGTACTTACAGAATGTTTTTTTAATAATTTTAGGATGTTCATCTAATTCCTCTGCACTTTACTATCTGAAAAAAAATATACTGTGTGTATTGATTGCTGAAGAATTGGGTTGTTTTAAAAAAAATAAATATAACATTTTCTTCCTGATTTCCAGTACTTTAAGACTATTTATTTATTTATTTATTTATTTATTTAGTAAAGGAGGATGGAAAACATCTGTAAACAACTTCTATCTTCTCTCCCAAATTAAAAATGACAACTGGATGAAACCTATTCTTTGTATTAATTTCATATCTAGACTGAGACCTTGTACTTGTACCATAGTGAGGCAAATTTTTATGACTGAATTTTAAACCCATGAAAAATGGGATTTATTGCAGGAACATTGACAGGGTTTGTTCTGTGCTAGTGCTACTACAATAATTAACACACACTTTGTTCCTGTAGGAGAAAAATTGCAATGGTTTCAAAGTCACCTTGATCCCAGCAAAGCAGACTACACAAAGAAAGAAGCCTGTGAACTAATTGAAAAGTAAGAATGGGGTATACAATAATGTAAAAGGCTCTTTTTTGTTGGAAATAAGATTGACTTACTGACTGGTAAAATTAAGATGAATCTTAAATATACCAAATATTTATTATTAGAAATCTCATTGATTTATTAATAGTGAAGATATTATGCACTAGCATAAGTAGATCATAACTATTCTGGAACTACTGGATGAGATCAGAGTATAATCAGAGAGACTTTTATATTATATCTCTGCATATGTAGTGAAGGCAAACTCAAATTAAAATGGATACACCTATATCTTTTCCAGTAACCACATGATCCACAATCTAAATGTTTATGTCCCCAGTGCATGAAGCGTTAGTCGCATTTCTTGGTGAAAGTGCAATCTACAGGTTCTACTTCACTTAGCCCCGCTTCTTAGCTTTGCCACATTGTGTTTTAGGAAGGCCAGCTGAACATCACCAGAGCTATTTCAAAAGTGGGGACCTGTATGGGCACTATATCATTACTATACATAACACTACATGTACCAAAAGCTGCCCCCGTTGCCAATTTGTCAGCTACGTCTCTTGATAGGTTATGCCTATCTCATGATGGTAAATTCCTTTTACCCTCAGTATTTATGGCATATTTTGTATGCAGTTCAATGAAACCTGCATTATTGAGGAGCATCTCCAGTGCTGCTCTGGGGCAGATCCACCACTAGTGTATGTTATAGGATCTACTGCCATCTTATGTTTTAAAGTCTTCGCAGTATAAATGATGGTATGAGACTTTAAAATATCCTCAATATATCCAGAGTACTTTAGTTTGACTTTTTAGTGAAAGACCACTTATAGCAGGCAATATATGACTTTTTTTTTCTGGGTTGCAGAGCAATTACTTAAGGCAGGTTACACTAAGTAAAAAGACATTCACATTCAAAACACTACATTAAAACAACATTATTATGGTCGTGAAGTCAAGCACTCAAAAATAAGGAAATGCTAGAATTACAATTGCTTGTGCAACCTTAATTTGGCTCCCTTGTGTATAACCATTATGATAGTCCTTAAGTACAGCCGTGGCTGGAGCACTGACAGAGTCTTTGGACAATTTAGCTTCCAAACTCTTAACAAGTCTTTACTGAACATCTATAAACAGTGATTTTTTTTCCCCCATAGGCTCATATCTTAGACAGATTTGTCTGTTTGTTTCACAGGAATGCAAAAATAGGGCAATCCCCTACCCCCCCTAAATTTCAAGTTCTTGCTCCAAAGCGTGGAGGCACTAGAGCTTCTCAGAGAAATGACAGTACAAATGTTTAACATGGGCAAAATAACACTTTTCTCTAATCTCATTCTCTGAATTAACTGAAACATTCAAAAAAATTCTGCCTGAGGGAGACACCTGGCCTGAGAAATTTCTGCTCAAGTGATTAAAGTTTGGCAAAGATATAAGCAACTGAAAACAGGGTCTTATAATGGGAAGTGACAGGCAATCAAGGAAGAAGGCTGTACTTCTTCCGACCTGATTTAGAGGGGACGTGAAGGCAGCTATAAAAAATAAAATATAACAAATGGCAGAAAGGGAAAGTTGATAGTAATTAATATAAACCAGAAGTTAGGAATTATAGAAAATTGATAAGGGAAGCAAAGGGACACAAGGAGAAATCTGCTAAGCAGTTTTTTAAATATATTAGGAACAAAAAAATTCTGACAATGGTATTGGTCCATTACTAGATGGAAATGGTAGAATTATGAAGAATAATGCAGAAAAGGCAGAAGTGTTCAATAAATATTTCTGTTCTGTAGTTGGGGGGAAAAAAACAAATGATATACTCTGATCAAATGCCGGTGATAATGTCTCTGGAAGATGTTAAACAAGCTCGTAAAGTCAGACATTTTTAAAGCAGCATGTCCAAATAACTTGCTTCCAAGAGTTTTAAAAAAGGTGGCTGAGAAGATTGCTGGACCATTAATGTTGCTTTTCAATAAGTCCTAGAGCAATGAGGAAGTTCCAAAAGACTGGAAGACAACTAATGTTGTGCCAATTTTTAGAAAGGGTAAACAGCATGACCCGGCTAATTATTGGCCTGTCAGCCTGACGTCGATCCTTGGCAAAGCAATGGAGCAGCTGATACAGGACTCGATTAATAAAGAATTAAAGAAGTGTAATGTAATTAATGGAAATCAACATGGTTTATGGAAAATAGATCCTTTCAAACTAACTTGATTTTTTTTTTTTTTTTTTGATGAGGATACAAGTTTGGTTGATGAAAGTAATAGTATTGACATAATATACTTAGACTTCTCTGAGGGCTGGTCCACACTAAGCCCCCAGTTCGAACTAAGATACGCAACTTCAGCTATGTGAATAACGTAGCTGAAGTCGAAGTATCTTAGTTCGAACTTAAAGGTACTTACAGCGGGTCCACATGCGGCAGGCAGGCTCCCCCGTCGACTCCGCCTACTTCTCTCGCGGAGCAGGATTACCGGCGTCGACGGCGAGCACTTCCGGGATTGATTTATCGCATCTAGACAAGACACGATAAATCGATCCCAGAAGATCGATTGCTTGCCGCCAAACCAGCGGGTAAGTAGACATACCCTAAGTCGTTTGATCTGGTACCACATGCCATTTTGATTAAAAAACTAGAACAATATAAAATGAACATGGCACCAATTAAATAGATTTAAAACTGGCTAACTGATGGATTTCAAAATGTAACTGTAAATGGGCAATCATCATCAAGCCAGTGTGTTTCTAGTGGGGTCCTGCAGGGATCAATTCTTGGCCCTGTGCTATTTAATCAGTGACCTAGAAGAAAACATAAAATAACTGATAAAATTTGCGGATGACACAAAAGTTGGGGAAGTGATAAATAATGAAGAGGACAGGCATTGACTCAGAATGATCTCAATTGCATGGTGATTTGGGCACAAGCAAACACTGTGTTTTAGTATGGCTAAATGTATACATCTAGGAACAAAGAATGTAGGCCACACTTAATGAATGGAGACTCTATCCACTACAGCCCACAAATCTTTTCAGAGTCACTGCTTCCCAGGATAATCAGCTGAACATGAGTGTGGAATGATCTGGAAAAAGAGGTAAACAGTGAGGTGACAAAATTTGCAGATGATACAAAATTACTAAAGATAGTTAAGACCCAGGCAGACTGAGAAGACCTACAAAAGGATCTCTCAAAACTGGGTGACTGGGCAACAAAATGGCAGATGAAATTTAATGTAGAGAAATGCAAAGTAATGCACATTGGAAAGCATAATCCCAACTATACATATAAAATGATGGGGTCTAAATTAGCTGTTACCACTCAAGAAAGAGATCTTGGAGTCATTGTGGATAGTTCTCTGAAAATATCCACTCAATGTGCAGTGGCAGTCAAAAAAGCGAACAGAATGCTGGGAATAATTAAAAAAGGGATAGATAATAGGACAAAAAATACGTTGCCTCTATATAAATCTATGGTACGCCCACATCTTGAATACTGTGTGTAGATGTGGTTGCCCCATCTAAAAATATGTATAGGAATTGGAAAAGATTCAGAAAAGGGCAAAAAAAAATATTAGGCGTATGGAATGGCTTCTGTATGAGGAGAGATTAATAAGACTGGGACTTTTCAGCTTTGAAAAAAGACAACTAAGGGGAGATATGATTGAGGTCTATAAAATCATGACTGGTGTAGAGAAAGTAGATAAGGAAGTGGTGTTTACCACTTCTCATAACACAAGAACTAGGGGTCACCAAATGAAATTAATAGGCAGCAGGTTTAAAACAAATAAAAGGAAGTATTTCTTCACACAACGCACAGTCAACCTGTGGAACTCCTTGCCAAAGGATGTTGTGAAGGCCAGGACCATAACAGGATTCAAAAAAGAACTAGATAAATTCATGGGGGATAGGTTCATCAATGGCTATTAGCCAGGATGGGCAGGAATGGTGTCCCTAGCCTCTGTTTGCCAGGGGATGGATCACTTGATGATTATCTGTTCTGATCATTCCCTCTGGGGCACCTGGCACTGGCCACTGTCGGAAGACAGGGATACTAGGCAAGATGGACTTTGGTCTAACCCAGTAGGGCCATTCTTATGTGAGGCGGTAGCTAAAAGTGCTAATGCAATTCTGGGATGCATAAACAGGGGAGTCTCAAGTAGAGGTTATTTTATCACTGTATTTGCCACTGGTGCAATTGCTGCTGCAATACTGTGTCCAGTTCTGGTGTCCACAGTTCAAGAAAGATGTTGATAAATTGGAGAGGGTTCAGCGAAGAGCCACGAGAAAAATGAAAGGATTTAGAAAACATGCCTTATAGTGATAGACTCAAAGAGCTCAATCTATGTAGCTTAACGAGAAGTTAAGGGGTGACTTGAATATAAATATCTACATAGGGAACAAATATTTAATAGGTTCTTTATTTAATAAAAAAGTATAATGTGATCCAATGACTGGAAATTGAACATAGGCAAAAATCTGACTGGAAATAAGTCATGAATTTGTAATGGTAAGAGTAATTAACCATTGGAATAATTTACCAAGAATCGTGGTGGATTCTCCATCACTGACAAATTTTAAATTGATTACATGTTCTTTCAGAAGATATGCTCTAGGAATTATTTTGGGCAAGTTCTATGCCCTGTGTTATGCAGGAAGTCAGACTAAATCACAGAGGTCCTTTCGGCCTTGGAATCTATGAACCTTTGCTATAGGTGGAACAGGTAATGCTGCCTATAATAACAAACAGGTAGGAGCAAAATCTGCTCTCTCATCGTTATCCTGTAGTAATTTGGAAGTTCTCCCAGTACACTGCTAGTCTTCCTTTTCTCAGAGATTCTTGGCTACAATAGGTGACATGCTATACTCTGCTAAATCTGAGGGGTAAGAGTCTAGAGGTCACAGCCTAAACAGAATTTCTCTTTTGGAAGAATATTGCAAATCTTTAATTTAGTGTGAAAAACTGCACCTGTGGCATATTTAGATGTGGTGCAGATGGCAAAGAAACAACTGGTAAATATTTCCCTGGCAAATGACCAAACCAGTATAGTTTTATTAAAATGTTACGAGACATCTCATAGCTTAAACTTGTTGTCTTTCAGATATTTACATCGATTCAGTGATGAACTGGAACAGATTGAGTTACATAACAGCATTAAAGGCAGACAGGGAAGGCAGCACAGTTCCCGGGAGATAATCATCAAACAGACCATAGAGCATGAAAGACAACTCTATGAAGGATATGGGATAGGTATGGTTGCTTTATTATTTCTTTGTTGTGCAAACTGCAGTAGCTGGAACTTACACCCCTCCCCCACACTCACCCCCCGTTCACAAGGCCTGAATCCTAAGTGAAGGCTTTAGGTGATACTTTGGTTTCTTGTTTTAGAGAAATAAATCTTCTTTTACTTCTCTTGATTTCCAGGTTCTTTTAAGGTGGATGTAAAAACAAACAGAAAGATCCTAGTTAGAAATTCATTTTACTTCCTTGAATGCAGTGATCACCTTTGAGCAATGACTCTGCTTTATGCTTTATGACTCTGCTTTATGTTGCTTTAAGGCATATGTGTATGTAGATTTTGATTACTAAAGTTGATAGGATTCCTGTGAAGTCTGACTTCTGTTTTTAAAGCATATTAATATAGCCACCCCAAAAGAGCATGAATCGCATCCCTTTAAAAAATGTTTCTTTTAAAAAAGGTGGGTTTTTTTTTTTTAGCCTGAACAAAAAGGTTGCCCCCTCTTTAAAAGGGTGCATAATTATGTGTTTGGAAACATACATATGAGGTTGTTTGTTGGTATAAAGTTTTATTAGCTCTCATTTGAAATGACAGCATTACTTGCTCATGACTTCATTACTCATGACTGGTAACCATCCCAAACTCATGACATGAAACCTTTGTACCATGAAACATCATAGCATTGTCTCAGTAATAGAAACCTAACATCACTGAGGTCTCCATGTATTGTTCCCTCCCACAGGAATGGGCCAGTGGGAAAAGTTCTACAAGATTCACGTTGCATAGCTTATGGTGTGTTGTCCACTTAAGAGGGAGGATTTAGGAGCCTACTAAACTTAGAGGGCCCAAGGCTTCCCACTCCATGAATCACAGGGATCTTTAAAGAAAAAAAGAACCCTTGATCCAAGGAGGTAGGAATAGTCCTGTATCAATTGGACCTGCCTCCACCAGGATTTACACTTTCTCTTTATTTGCGGTGGAGCACGGCTCCTGCAGTAGATGCAGTGGAGCCAAAGGGCATTAATATAGCTCAAGACTTAATTAAATTTCTTGGCATTTCCTGGATTTCTTCATTAAAATGTAGGGGCTCTTCAAGGAATGGTGCTTCATTTTGACAGGTCTCTTGCTCCACCCTAACCCCACCTAAAACTTTGTGTAGCCCCAACAGACAGAAACTCTGATCAGGCTGAGGAGATATGTACACAGAAGGACCTCTTCAAATGTGTAGCTGGTGATGAATCTTTGGCCCCATGGATGTTCGGAGTAGGGTTGAGAGTGTATGTTTATAAAAATGCCCTAACATTTAACCTTTAACAACCAAAGGCCCCTGAAACAAAACCCTGAAACATTTAGAATACAATAATGCTGTAATTTATAACAAAAGTAATAATAGCCCAATAGACAGTTAGCTCAGAAAAATATTCTTAACTTCTAATTTGACATTTCAGTGTTTTCACTGGCTGCTATCACAAATACATATAAAGTCAGACTGCCAGACATGATTATTGGTCTTTATTTTTAAATTGCCCTAGGGAAAAAATAGCAGTTGCCCCTTTGTCACCACAGTGTCTCACGATGTCTTAAAAATAGCTGAGCGGAGAGCCGTGTGTGTCTTGAGAACCTCAGCCTGAGTATTACCAATGAAAGGTATTGGTCAGGGATGGTGCATGGGATTAACATTAAAGAATGGAAATTTTTGAGCCTAAGTGAACTGATAGCATCCCTTCAAAAATATATATTCTCTTTAAAGGTGGTATGCAAATGCCAGCTATGCTTGAGAGAGAGTCTGAAATGACTGAAAATCATGTATATGGAACTAGGCTGATGGGCAAGAGCAGGAATCAAGTGTAACAAGGCTAATTGGGATGGGGAAAGGAATTGTGGAGACTGAGATCCAGGCTGTGTTGAGGAGAGTGTGGTAGAAAGTAATACCAAATGTAATGACCTGACATTACTTTTTAAAAATAGACCCTTTTTGGAGCCAAATAACCAATTTAACTTTGTCTAGAAGGAGTAGTGTTCATATCACTATGAAAGTATCACTGACTTTGAAAGTTCATTAACAAAATGAAAAAATCAACATTTGTTTCCTGCTTGGAAGGTAAAATCTTGGCCAATTAGCTTCTTTGAAACAAGCGTTTCCTGTGTTCATGGGGCGGGGGGACAATGGGGGTAATGAAAGATTTTCAAAATATTTGCCAGCCATACTTAATCCTCCAGAGCTGCTCATATCCTGTTCTGGATGAGATAGCAAACAATTCAGGGGTTCATGGCGTTAAGCTATGTGACTTAGTGCAGAATGGGAATCCAGTGTTCTTTCTCCTCGCTTCCTCTTTTGCATTTCTTCTAGGGCAGAAATAGGGAAGCAATCTGTATGACTTTTTAAAAATCTATTCTTGTTTTAAAATTGTTGTTCACCAATACAAAGTCCTCCTTCCAATTTCTGTGGTTTTAAAAATTACGTTTCCTTATTTTTAAAAATGTTTTTCTCTCCTGTTGCTGTGTGAAAGTTCCAGGCAAACAAAAAACAAACAAACAAAAAAATCAATGAAATAGGCTAGCAAACAACTCTATCAAATGCACAAAATAAACAAACTGGAAAAAATAAAGAAACAAGATGTTTTCATTTATAGAAATCTCATATTTTACTTACTATTGCTGTAAGTTTAAAAATCGCAAAAATGTGACATTTTAAATTTGATGGTGCCCCTTTACATGTTAAATGCAACCTCAAATCATTCATCATTTGTTATCGCAGCTGTTGAAGGTTCAGTCTGTCTAGAACTCAGTCTTCATTCAGAGAAAATTGTTGCTGCTAAATACTATAATTGGAAATGGGAGGAAAAAAATGGGAAGTCAGCTGGAGATTGTGCTTTAATGGCTCTATCTCATCATTATCACTAGAGGCTTTTCTAATAAAAGGGAATATCTTCAAACTGACTTTATATGTGAGTGTCTCTCTCTGTTATTGATGTCAGAATTTTCCCTTCTGTGTTGTATGTTTTGCCTTGAAGCAGCCTTAGAATATAAAAGTGGAGTTCTAAAAGTCATCCAAGATTTGACATTTTTGTATAAACAGTCATGTTCAAGTGAATAGACATTCAAGATTATACATTTCTTCACTAATTGATCATTAACAGGCTGAATTTTATGCAGAAGTTCTTAAACAGCTACACTGGCAGCTGAGTATTCAGATACATTAGTAAATGCTGTACAGATCCTTCTAGGAACAGTAACAATAAGGGAAGCTTCAGTCTGATAATCAGTGAGGTTGTTAAGGAAGTTGTTTCTTTAGTAGTGTCTCATTGATTCCTGCCTTTCCCTCTATGCTTAATTGTACGACTAAACAGGTTCCTACAGGTTTGAATTTTCTGGCATATTGTCATTTTCATCATTGTGTATTTCTGAAAAGTACTTATTTTTCAGGTGTTGATAGATAATGTCCAAAGCTTGTTGAAAGGGCATCCCAGATGTTGACAGGAACTTCCTGATGAATTGAGAGTGCATGTTTACAGCTAAAAATGGCAAGCAGTAGTTATTTCATCTGAACTTCATGTGGTTTAGTTAACTGACTAACTTTTAATTATGCATTCTGTCAGAACATGGAAGTCAAGTGTTCTAGAAAAAGGAATTGGTCCAATGAGCTTTCAAAGTTAAATATATACAGATATGAAGAGTTACTTTTTTTAATATTTGGGATGGAAGGAAGGTCAGATGGAAGACACGAGGGCAGAATATTATAATATTTAGGTTTATCTCCCAGTATAGCTAGTGCCTGTACTGTTTATTCAATACATTAATGATCTGGAGGATGGCATGGACTGCACTCTCAGCAAGTTTGCAGATGACACTAAACTGGGAGGAGAGTTGATACGCTGGAGGGTAGGGATAGGATACAGAGGGACCTAGACAAATTAGAGGATTGGGCCAAAAGAAATCTGACGAGATTCAACAAGGACAAGTGCAGAGTCCTGCACTTAGGACGGAAGAATCCCATGCACTGCTACAAACTAGGGACCGAGTGGCTAGGCAGCAGTTCTGCAGAAAAGTACGTAAGGGTTACAGTGGACAAGAAGCTGGATATGAGTCAACAGTGTGCCCTTCTTGCCAAGAAGGCTAATGACGTTTTGGGCTATATAAGTAGAAGCATTGCCAGGAGATCGAGGGACGTGATCATTCCCCTCTATTCGGCATTGGTGAGGCCTCATCTGGAGTACTGTGTCCAGTTTTGGGCCCCACACTACAAGAAGGATGTGGAAAAATTGGAAAGAGTCCAGCGGAGGGCAACAAAAATGATTAGGGGTCTGGAGCACATGGCTTATGAGGAGAGGCTTAGGGAACTGGAATTATTTAGTCTGCAGAAGAGAAGAATGGGGGGGGGGGATTTGATAGCTACTTTCAACTACCTGAAAGGGGGTTCCAAAGAGGATGGATCTAGACTGTTCTCGGTGGTACCAGATGACAGAACAAGGAGTAATGGTCTCAAGTTGCAGTGGGGGAGGTTTAGGTTGGATATTAGGAAGAGCTTTTTTACTAGGAGGGTGGTGAAGCACTGGAATGGGTTACCTAGGGAGATGGTGGAATCTCCTTTCTTGGAGGTTTTTAAGGTCAGGCTTGACAGAGCCCTGGCTGGGATGATTTAGTTGGGGATTGGTCCTGCTTTGAGCAGGGGGTTGGACTAGGTCACCTCCTGAAGTCCCCTCCAACCCTGATATTCTATGATTTCTGCTGCTACTTTTGGTAGAATCCATTGTACAGCTGAATTGGTCCATGTCTAAAGAGATCATTCCTAACTCTCTTAATGACCCGTCGTTTCTCAACTTTACTTTGTGGCTCCTTGATTTTAACCCTGCCTCTTGTTCTCTTGAGTTTTGCTCCACTCCTTATTGAGGAAATGTACACATGATTTGAATGTGGGTTCAAGAACAATGTATTCCAATTCTCGTAAGACTTAACAGAAACCTTTAGTGCAAATCTGTGTGTCTGAGAGAATGAGGAAAAAGTTGTGTTA